ATTCTGGGAGCCAGTCACTGTGGCCAAGTGGAAGTTGTTTTATGAATGGTCAGATCTGGGTCACGTACTTACCCGAGTCCCTTAACAAGACGCCAGGCAGACGAAGAGGAGCAGGGAGGGAGAGAGTGGAATTTTGAAGGACATGTATGCTTATAGTGAACAGCATGTGATCAGTTAATAAACTATAAATGAATTAGGTGGCCAGTCTTTCATGTTAATTAAGCATTTTGAAGGATGTACATGGATATGACATCACTAGATTTATATTTTAGTAAGATCACTCTGACACTATGAAGAGGGTAGGTGGGTAGATGAAGATAGGTATATAAACATAAGGATAGTGATATGGGAGTTATTATATTTCATCCCTCAATTCCAAAATATAATCTTGTGTACCTCCAAATACCCTACATGGTTTGACAATTGGGTCCAGTTGTGAAGTATAATATAATAAGGGTATAAACAGAGGTAGAAACAATACAAACAAGTTAAAGGATGGCATGAATGTATGTGAACAAAGAATCAACAAGAATTCTAACTCATTTAAGAGGGGGAAAGAGGAAGGGGACATTTATTTAGACTGTGATTATGAAATTGTAGCATTTAGAGAAAAATGTAATTTGGTGTCAGTTAGGTGATTACTTATACAAATTGCTTCCTCGAGAGAATTGGAATATAAGCTGAGATGAGGAAACTGTGGTTAAGAAGAACAGTTACAGCTTATAGAGGATGATTTAGATCATGCATATAGAGATTAAGTTCACCCACAATGGATGAAATAAATAAAATGACTTACAATGAGAAAAGAAAAGGGTCAGGAGTAAGACCTTGAAAAACACCAACGTATAACAGTGGGGAGAAGTAGGAAGAACAGACAGAAAAGATATGAAAATATTGATTTGAGAGATAGGTGAGCCTCTAGTGAAAAATCCAAAGAAAGTGTGTTAAGAAAGAAAGAGTAACTGTATAAAATACTTCACGAATGTTAAAGATGAAGATTGAGGAAAAGGAAAGGAAATTACATTTAGCAATTAGGTCACTATTGATATTTAAGAGACCATTTAAAGCCAAAGTAGAAGAATTAAATAGCTGTTAAGAAAGTGGAAATGTCAAGTACTGTCTCTTCTTTTGGGTTTGTTTTTTTTTTTTTTTTTTATGAGAAAAACTCTAAAGCTCTGTTGTTAGAGTTCTTTCAAGGGAACTTATCTATTTCCATGATTTCAACCATGACGGTTTTCACATCCTTCACTCTAGCCCAGAGTGTCTCTATCCAACCTGTTTGTTACCTATCACCAAATTAATTTTCTTTGAGTTCTTTTAGATCATATTGCTTTTCTCTCAGAAATCCTCATTGGCTTCCCATTGATAAATGTACAAAGCCTAAGTGGTAAAGTCTGGATTCAAGTCATCCAACCAGAGACAAGCTAACTTGCAAATGTTAATTTCTCACCAGTCCCCTGGGTGAGCATTATGTTCTTCTCCATGCTCCAGCATTCCAACCAGTTTAAAGTCCATGCTGTCTCCCGATCGTGTCTGTGCTCTCCCTCCCAGCTAGTCAAGGATATATCCTGTGCGCTCTTATTAGAAACTTTCATCCATTTATTTTTCCATTCTTTCAAAGCTTACTGAAAGATAAGTGAGACACACTTGCTGACAAGGTGGGACACTGGATTAATATTTTTGTTCTTCATTTACCTGCTCTGTGATCTGGCTTTACAATAAGTTTTGATATGGCATCTTCCCTGTTTTCTGTTTAACAAGGTAGGATAGAGTATCCTCTCCAGAAATATGAATTTATCTATCCTTCCTTTATTTGCAAAACAGTTGTTCACTCTACTTCTTTATTTTTGTTCGTGTATTTGTACTCATATTTAGGACAGGATACATGTATATAATAAATAAGTAGATGAGTATAATGGAACATACTGCTGCTCCCTGACCACTTCATTGGATTGGGTTTCTGAAACACTTCTTACTTCTCCATTATCCCACTCCAGATGTGCTTTTGAATTTAACTTCTCTTATGACTTATTTCAAAACAAGCTACATCTTGCAGAAAGCTTTCCCTGATTTTCTTCCCAAGTCTTCTCTTCTTCCTCCCACTGCAATTTATCTACATCATTTTGGATAGCAAAAACTTTTTGTTAATATAATTTTTTGTATTTGGTACCTCTTTTCCTAAAGTAAAATTTTGTTGGGGGTAAAGCCATTTCTTCTTTCTTCTCTAAATTATAGAAGAGACTGAGTATCTGTGAAATAACTGAGCCTCATTGTTAAAACTGATAACATTATTTTTATCTCCATCTCTTCACCTCTAAAGTTCACAATGACAGTCACCCATATTCTCCATAATGGTACATAGATGCCCTTGGCTGTTTGTGTAGTCCTGTACCTTTCCATGGGTTACTTTCTCCTATAAAATATTTAGCTCACCCTGAACAGTGATTCACATAGGATCTGATTTGAAACATTTTCCCACTTATCCACATTTCAGGTGGAAATCTCGTCTGACATTCTGATGAAAATCCCACCAAATTTTTCTTCCAACTAATGATGAAGTAAATTTCTTTCCCTGCCGGGAGCCCATTTTGACTTCATGTCCTTCATGTTCGCTTTGTCCATATCATCTATGTAGCTAGTTTTTCACTTCCCATATCTCCCTTTCTATTTAAATGTCCTGACCTTCAACTAAAAGAAGAAATGAAAACTCTACCTGCCAAGCCCTTCAGTTTCCTATCTTGGGCTTCAAAGTCACTATACATATATTCCATTTTCTTCTTGACTATATTATTCATGGCCAAGTGAATCAGAAATAATACATATCAGCCAGTGGATTTAATAAGCCTTGTCAGGTCACATATCTGATTATTTGCTATAGGTGAAGTAGACTTTCTAGAAAATACACTTTCTAATTTGTCATGTCAGACCTATATAGAAGAAAATTGCCAATCACAAATAGCTAACTCTTCTTCCTGAGGTTAAAAACTGAATTCCTCAAACCTGCTGTTGCCTATGAATGTTCCTTATTGCTCTGGAAGGCAATGTCTTTCCCAATTTTTTTGACCATGACCTTCTATAAGAGGGGCTTCCCTTGTGGCTCAGCTGGTAAAGAATTTGCCTGCAATGCGGGAAACCTGGGTTTGAGCCCTGGGTCGGGAAGATCTCTTTTCCCTGGAGAAGGGAAAGGCTACACACTCCAGTATTCTGACCTGGAGAATTCCATGAACTATATGGTCCATGGGGTTGCAAAAAGTCGGACACAACTGAGCAACTTCACTTTCACTTTTCACTTTCATGCATTGCAGAAGGAAGTGGCAGCCCACTCCAGTGTTCTTGCCTGGAGAATCCCAGGGATGGCGGAGCCTGGTGGGCTGCCGTCTGTGGGGTCGCACAGAGTTGGACACGACTGAAGCGACTTAGCAGCAGCAGCAGCATCTGGTACATGTGTGGACACACACACAATGCTTTGCACATGTGTTTTTACCTGAAAGAAAAGTTTTGTGAACCAGAACTCTCCTTGGGCTAGGATACAATTTTTAAAATACTGTTTTGTGAATTCTGTGTCATTACGAAGCGAAGAAACTTACCAAACACAGTAAATTGATATAAGGAGCTACTTTATGAGTAACATCTCCTGATTTGAACAACGTCAGATGAGATTTGGGGAATATTGCGTTTAATTCAAAAGGACTAGATTTTCCCTCCATTTCAGTGGTTCCCAAAAGTTAATATGCATAAATATTGGGGGAACTTTTAAAAAATGCACATTTTTGAGTTCCGTCCCCCAAAGCTTCAGATTTTGTAATTGCAAAATGGGACCCTCGAATCAGCTGTTTAACAGTATACCCACGGTAGACCCCATCCAACTGGCCTTGAGACCAGGGTTTGGGAAGCTTTGCCTCTTGCTTTCTGAGGATGGAGGGGCTCAGAGGTCTTGCTTCTTCCCCTTTATCTTTTTGTTTCCTTCATCTACTGTCTGGTTTGCACCAGGCTCACTTTTTCTCCAGTGAAATAGCATCTTTATTTCTTCTGAGTGTTTTTTTAAGGTCTTTAATTCTCTTATGCTCTCTAGATAGCACATCCTTTGTCATTAACCAGAAATGAGAGGCATACTCTGCAGGCTTTATTTCCTTTCTTTTTACCTCCACCAGACATACTAGTGTCCAGTAGGACAAGTAAGATTATGGGTGACCTCAGAAAACAAATGTAGTACCTGCCATGTCTTTGTGAACTGCCTGTGAGTTTCAGGGCAGGGGTGGGGAGGAAGGGAAACTGGAGGAGTGCAGTTTGAATTACAGTCCTTCATATATGCGTTCGGAGCCCACCCGTCTCACCCACATAACCCATTTCTGTCTCCCTGCCTCTGTACGTTTTCAGGAAACAACTGCAGGATCTTCCCGCTTGCAGTGCCTCCTCTTTCACAAGGTCATACTGACCTTAACGTTAAGTACTCCTACTTATTTGCTGCTGCTAATGTGCTTCATGTCAGTATTTTACACGTTCTGAAATCATCTAAATTTGTCTGGGCTCCATTGGTCCAGACATTGATCTAATCCAAAAGAAGTAGATACTCCTTTCAAACCCTTTCAGAGAAATTCTTACCCACGTTGGAAACCCGCCTGATACCATTTGTACTTGACTGTGAATCAGCTTATATTTTACTCTGTCATTGCTTCCTATTTGCTGAAATCAGATCTTACCTTTCTCCTTGAAAAAAAATCTTAAGGTCCCGGAGGCAAGTAGTGTGTTGTTCATTTTCCTTTGATTCATTAGTATTTAATACAAGTTCATATTTAAACTGATATTTAATAGGTAAATGAAAGAAGGAGTAAATAGATGAAGATCTACAGCTCTGATTTCTTTTTTTAAGTTTACAAATATGTAGATACTGCTTTATAGATGTCTTTTATTAATTGATATTTTAGCATACTTAGTATACTTTTATTTTTATATACTCTTGATCTCTTAGGAAAATATTGAAATAGATGTTAGTTTATTTATTTATTTATTTTTATTTTTTTATTTTTTATGACATAAATTAACCCATTTATTATAGGCTAGCAACATTATCAAATGGTGGTGCTTCTCCTGGTCCTTCAATTCCTTCAGTCTTCTGATGGCAGACTTTACTGTGACAGCAGAAGTGGTGGTGTAGGTCCAGGCACCACCAGCTACAGTTTTCATGCAGGAACCACAGTGCCAAATGCCCACAGCTCTTCTCTTCATCTTGGTTTTGCCACAGAAGGAGCAGGTATACTTGACGTGCTGGCTGATTTCAATTTTCTTCACCATTTTCCTGAGGGAGGCACCATAACGGGTCCCGTATTTGCCCACAATTCCGACCTTCTTGGTGCGTTTCGCCATGTTAACGCAACCTAGATCCGAGCCCAAGAGATGTTAGTTTAATAAAGTAAATAAAGAATGACAAGGAAAGATTATTAATGTTAGTATAGTTTTGTGCATTTATTATTATTGATAACTGAAAATCCTAGGTTAGGTTTCAACTCATAATTGCGTATTAGCTGCAGCCTCTATTGAAGACTAGTCCAACACCCAACCAAAATATCTATCAAGCTATTTACCACACACACACAAAAAAACAGTAATGCTAAAAACCAAGACTGAGAGATAACCTAATACTGATATCTAGAATTAAACTTCATGAACATAAGGCAAGTAAAGTTGAATTGAGGAAAATTGAATTAGGCTTTACTTCTTTAATTAAAGACTCTTTGAAAAGAGGTGGGGCAATGCTTTGGCTTATCCCCCATCTTTTCTCATGACTCAGGGGCCCAGATTTTGCCAGTAACCGGAACTAGCTAACTCTCACTGATGAGGTAACCTTATTTCTGTGTCCATTAAGAAGCAATTTTTAAAAACCCCATAACTTCCAGAAATTAATAAGGGGTGGACTGGTATATGCATATTTTGACCGATATTCTGTTGACTAAAGCCTAGAAAAATACTGAAGTTAATTAAATTAGGCAAATAGGGAAATATAATTTTCCATATACCCTACAAGTTTAGAGGTCTGAGAACCAAGCAATATCCACCTCAGCAAAACTGCATTAATGAATGCCTGCAAAATATTGTGAATTAGATCCAAAACAGTGAATATCAATTGTTTTTTTTTTTTAACACAAGGCTGCTCAACCTCAGTACCATAGATACTTTGGACGGTAACCTGTGCTGTGCTTTACAGGCTGTTTAGCCACATTCTTGATCTTTACTCAGCAGATGCTAGTAGCACACACACTCTTCCATGTCTCAGCAATCAAAAGAAGTGTTTTCAGACATTGCCAGATGTCCCTTGGGGGAAAAATTGCCCCCAGTTGAGGACCACTACATCAGTAGGTCTCACGGGGGCATGATTGAATCTTGATAGCTATTGCCTTATTTAAGGATGGCTGAAGGAGAAGCAATCAGTATGGAGTCTGTCTTAAAAATATTATAGCTCAAGGGAAAGAAAATATCACCCAAAGACACAGAGGGAAAATACAACTTTGAAAACGATGTGCTTCAACTTCCAGGAAAAAAAGTAATTCTTAGACTATTTGAGGTAGTCAATAGAATGTGATGAAGGGGGTTGGAAAAGGGAGTAAGTCATTCGGCGAAGACAGAACAGTAAAAAGGAGCGAGAAGATAGAAGGTGATGGGTAAATTGCATGGAAATTTTGGCAGATTTTGTTTTAAGCTGATGATAGTGTTAGTAAGAGATAGAGATGTACGCATTCTTAAGTATTCCATACAATCTTTCTCGAGTGTAGTTTTCATTCAGATATGTATGGACAAAGTGCAATTGATTTGGGTTAATACTAAGGAGCACAATTGCTGAATTATATGGTAAGAGTATGTTTAGTTTTATAAGAAACTGCCAGACTGTCTTCAAAGTGTCTGTAGAATTTTGCCTTCCCTTCAGCAGTAAATGAGAGTTCCTCTTGCCACACATCCTTGCCAGCATCTGGTGTTGTCAGTGTTCTTTGCTTATTTTAATTTCTTTCCATCTTAAATGCCCAATTCAAATGTGACATTCTCTATAATATTCCCTTAATCGACCTGTTAATAATACCTCCGCATGCCATACTATACTTATTATCTTCATTTTACCACTTAGACTTACTGTATGCTGTTGATTTCTTGTCTCATTTTTCCTATTTGAATATTAACTCTTTGACAGCAGCAATTTTTATGCAAGGTACCATACTTTAACGCATTTCTATAAAATTTAGATCAATGTTGAAAAAAAGTATGAGGGTTATATTTTCATATATGTCCATCATTTTAAAAAAGAAAACTATTTAGAAATGTACCCATAGTATATCTCAGCTGCTTTATTTTTATTGTGAAGTGGGTAAAATAAGTGTTATGTTCATATACAGTTCATGGAGTGAATGCTTGTTAGAGTTAAAAGTAACCTTGTTAGCTTTTTAAATTACCTGTGAGGAATCTGAGATGCAGAGTGTTTTCATAATACAGTCCACACCACATAGGTAGAATTATAATATGTCTCATTTATCACCCTTTCTTATCTTTCCTCAGAACTGCTATTGCTCTCTCATTTTAACTGAATCTGAGATAGGATAAATTTTGTTCCATGAAAATAGATTATTTTTCTAGAAAATGCAAAAATTGGTAATTTAAGAATATATTTTTGAAAATGTTCTATTTCATTAGAATAACAGTATGAACTATATACGTTACTGTGCTTCTTTTTGTATCTTTATCATCTAATTTATTAATTCACATGAGGCATCAACTACAGTCCAGTTGTCATGACTCACATCCTTTCATTTTCCAGTGAATTTAATTTTATAGAAATACAGAGTGGTTAAAGTGTTACCTTAAAAGAAAGGTTTTATAATATATGAATTCTATTTTGTGTTGTTTTCATTGAATTGAATATTAACAAAAGAGACTAATAGTAGTAATAGTCGTTACTGAATGCTCTTTTGATATTTGAGATTTGATTTCTCATGATTTTGTATC